TGTTTTCGCCTGATTCAGTTGTAGTGTTTTCGCCTGATTCAGTTGTACTGTGTTCGCCTGACTCAGTTGTACTGTGTTCGCCTGATTCAGTTGTACTGTGTTCACCTGACTCCGTTGTACTGTCTTCGCCTGATTCAGTTGTACTGTGTTCGCCTGACTCAGTTGTACTGTGTTCGCTTGATTCCGTTGTACTGTCTTCCCCTGATTCAGTTGAACTGTCTTCGCCTGATTCGGTTGTACTGTGTTCACCTGACTCAATTGTACTGTGTTCGCCTGACTCCGTTGTACTGTCTTCGCCTGATTCAGTTGAACTGTCTTCGCTTGATTCAGTTGTACTGTGTTCGCCTGATTCAGTTGTACTTTGTTCACCTGACTCTGTCGTGGTGTCTTCCTCAGATTCCGTTGTTTCATCACTATCTTCCGGGCCATAAAGTTCACAGTCTTCATGATTTTCTTCCATATCCGGTGGTATATAACGGAAAGAATCTACTAGGATTGTTGAGCCAGGATTTTTTGAGCCTAGTAATGTTATCTGGAACATAAATGTTGCTTTGGAGTTTTTATGCTATCTCGTGATATTTCTATGCCCTGTATACTAATTTAATTGCGATTTTTTGGTAGTTATTGTTCCTTGTAGTAAAATAATTAAAAGAATGACAATATTGGGAAGTATCATAATTATAATCAAGATGCAATAGGTACATTCTTAAATGCAAAGCAAAAAAAAAAATGTTTTATTTAAAATATGCGCACTGAGTGTACGTATGTTATACAAAGTTACTTACAAAACCGCTGTAGCTGCCGGTGCTTCCCACTGTAAAAGTTTTTGTGTTCCATTGATTGTTCTCAATGACACTAATGTTATAAATTTCGTGATTTGCTTGCACTGTACCACCATTTTGCAATCTTTGATTCACACTAACTTGCAAAAATTCATTTCCGGCAGTAACTGACATATAAAATGTCACTTCCACACGCCCTGTAGCCCTTATTTGAAAATCAAATGATGACGTACATGAGAGTTGATTTGGTGTTATAAATGTTCTGCTGGACTCGTGCGGAGGTTGTATAGGAATATCTGCATAATAACCAACTTCCCATACGCCCTGTATGAAAGCACAATGGCCGATAGTGTCGTCGAAATTTTCCAAACCATTTTCGAGGTTTATAGGTATACAATTATCTTCCAATCGGACTTCCTCACTTGATATTAAATGCACTATAACTACGATGAAAAACAAAACAAATGAGGACATGATTACTTATTCATATTCTATACAACACTGATTGGTGTTCCTAAGATTTCAAAAAATGTGAAGCTTGTGTCATTTGTTAACTAGTGATTTGATAAGGTATTTTTCATATCTTTCGAACTGATGCAATCTTTTAATGTCCTTCATTAATAATGGGGTACTGTAAATAATTTGAAAATCCGTTCTAACTAAAACGCAAAATAATAACTAACAAAGACAACGTACTTGTGCATTACAAGCCCTGTTACAAACATTACGACTGGAATATAATAATGTCAAAAAGAATACAGTAAACCGATTTTCTTGTGTCATCTATTATCTTCGGCAAAAAGTAGAAATGAAATTTTTTTGAGTAAAATGAATATTGAAAATTAATACAAAGCAAAGGTCATTACATTAAAAAAGAAGTGTTAAGTCCTCACCTACAGAATTCCCTTTCCGATAAAACAATTATTAGCGATAAAATTCATCTTTTGTGACGTGTCTTGCTTCTGTGATTCTTGGATAGGCGCTCGTAACATGTCATAGTGCCTATTATCTGTCTCTTCGTCACTACATGACTCACTGCTCGGCACGGGTCTTCTATAAGGAGATGGTAAAGGTAGTTAGTATATTCATAGTAAACGGAAAGTTGAGTGAATCCACTTCGATGTTTCATGATTCCGCTCCGGGAGCGTTAGGAATTTAGATAAATTATAACTTTTTATAAAAGAAAAACCTACTTCAAAAGTTAATGAAATTACATCTAAAATTTTTTTGAATAAGTCGGTTAACGGAAAGTGGATAAAATCCAATAAACCTGCTTCATCCTTTAATAAATGAATTAATGGGACGACTACTGAAATACCCCAGTATTAATTAATAGCAATAGAGCTCTTTGTGAATGAGTTCGTCCAGGGTAGTACCGTCCACCCATTTCTGCCGCCAAGCGGTAATGTGAGCCGGTTTTGAACTTGGGACTTGTCAAGTTATGTCTCAGGGTAACGGACGCAGCGGCAGTGCCCCTCAGATTTTTGCGATTTAAAGCTCTGAGTGGCACTGTAACTGTTGGGGACAGGCGTGTCGCTTACCACCAGTCCCACGATTCGTTCGTTCCGTCACTTGGTGTCATAAAAAAAACCCATCGAAATTGGTTCACAGATGTCTGAGTAATCAAGTAACATGCCCAAAAAAACAGTCGCGTCTTGGACTCGGGTATAAAGAACTCACATCGTGAGATGCCTGTCAGAGACTAACCTTGTTAAACAGTTCGTCCAGGACAGTACTGCCACATTACGTATTTCTGTCGCCAAGCAGCAATGTCACCATTACTATATTCCGGTTTTAAAGAGTAAGGGAGCTGGTGAAATTACAGGCACATGGAACTTGTTAACTTATGCCTCAGGATGATGAACGCAGTGGCAGTGCCACTGAGATCTTTGCGATTCAAAGGTATGAGCGACACTGCAACTGTTATGGACAGGCTTACCATCTTAGCTTAGGCTTATCATCGTAGCTTACCATCAGGCGCACGACTTGATCGTACCGTCAGTTTATATTATAAAAAAAATAAACCACCAAAGTCTTAAAATTTATACAGATTTTCTTCAAAAAAATCATATTACAAAATTGAAGACTACGTTTTAGATAAAGATGTATGGAAAGATGACACGGCTCCAGAATCCACACAAATTTGATTCAAAGTCTACTCCATAGCATTTAAGTTTATTTGAAAAGAGCAATCTCTAGAGTTTCTTGCTCGTTCTTCTCAGGGAGGTCAGCGTAGTGAACGAGCAGTAGCTTAAATGTGACGTTTTCAAGTGTAAATTTATTTTACCTATGGAATAAAATACTGAGATCAAATTCATTTATTCCAAAATTTACAAAATGCATTTATGAACAATAATAAAATGTATAACCTAAAGATCAGCACAAGGCTTCGTCAATAGGTAATCTAATACAAAAAAAAGTGAGATTCACGTTAAATATACTTAATTTAAAAAGAAATCCCGCCCTGTATCGTGCCCGGGGCAAAAGTTTCCATTATACTGGCAGCATTGCCTCGCTGGACAGCAATGGACACCTGCTGAACCAACCACGACCCAGAGCGGTGATCGCAGCCCCTGTCTCTGAGTCGGCGACCCAACTCTTTAAATAGGTCCCGAGCTTCCGAACCCCAAGGCCCCGCCGTCTCGACCGCGACCGGTACAAAGTCGTACACAGGCTCCAAGGCAGAATATTTCGCGTGTTTTAGTTTCGCGGCACTTTCCGCCGCGGAACCCGCCATCTGTGAAGTTTGTCTTATGTGGGACGCAGCAAAAGTACTTACGCATGTTGCGTCCCACAGAAGACAACGACCTTTCCGCCAAGGAACCAATGTCAAACCGTCCGGCCTTTTGGAATAAATAATCTTTGACTTTGACTTCTTCCGGACTCTCTAGTAGAATAAATTTAGCTGCCTACCGGGGAAATTTAGTTTCTTAGCCTTCGGTGCGTGATACTCCAGGGCATGACTCTTTATAAAATCTTTAATTAGAAGAGTATACTGGTTTTTTTATTGTAGGTATATTTCCTTTATCTAATGTTTCGTGTATACTTATTAATTAGCTTAATTAATTTATTTACACATACTAAATATGTTTATATGATTGTCTGTAAATAAAATTGATGTGGCACTATGTATTGTAATAATTTCAAACTTTTTATTAATGTTCTCTCTAAAATATAATTTTTCTCTGATTTAAAAAAAACAAAGAGAATAGAAGTGGCCAAGTACCGCTTACATATTAACCAATTTTTTTTTATAAAGGTTTTTTTTTTAAATTTAACCAATCGGAAGGCGTTTGAGAAGCGTCGTATTTGATATTCTTTTTTGAAACTCATTTCTTATTTGAAATTTTTCACTTCAGTCAATAGAATTTTGAATCAGTTATTATTAAACTTTAATGTGTAAATTATAATTGACAGATTAAGGTACAGAAGCAGAAAAGATAATTTACAATTGTTGTGCAACTGTTTAAATGCATTCCTGAATGTGAAATAACGTATAATTGAAATGTTATTCCTTCTTTATCGTATTACAATTTATCTAATTTCATTTTATAATCGTGTGATATAAATTACATGACGAATATTTTATGCAATATATCGCGGTATTCATTCTTACACACCGCAGAGGGATCCAGTATCCTTTTAATCTACAATTTTAGAATAATAACGCATAGAATGACAGTTTCATATCAAACGAACTGTCATAAGTGAGGCAAAAATCGAATTCATGTAGGCTAGTTTTAGTACAAGGTTAATTTTCGGTTTTAGTGAATATTTATATAAAAATACAAGTTGAAACGCGTTACTTCCTTGTGGAATGTGATGTTAGTATCTATTTTATGTTTGTCTGACGTATTTTTACACTCATTTACCGCACATTTCGTCATTTTTAGCCAAAATTCTAGAGCTGTTCGCGGTGCAAGTTGACCTTGAGCACTGGAGGCCCGCCCGCTCGTGTAGGCCCATTGGGAGCCCTTCAATTTGCCTCACTTAGCGTGTGCGGGCTAGGTTTCTATGCGTTGTTATTCTAAGTCTACAATCATACAAATTTCGTGACGATCTAATGGTAAAATATAACTAACAAGTTTTAGCGTCCAAACGAATGTAATTTATCTGGTGAGTCCTCGGATATGTAGGGCAGGTGAATATCGATTGATTCCAGGAAGTGTAATAGGACTATTTTTATATTGGCGTATTTTTAATTGATATAAACATAAACGGCGAATACATCTCACACTTGCGATTCGCAGATGACATAGTCCTAATGGCGGAGTCGCTGGAGGAGCTACAACAAACGCTGGACAGCCTAACATCCGCCTCGCAACGGATTGGTCTCGGCATGAACTAAGATAAAACTAAACAAGTGATCAGTCATATTGCCCTGAGACCAATCGTAGTAAATGGCCATCTTCTTGAAGTTGTTTCCGAATACATTTACCTCGGGCAGATTTTGCGATTGGCAAGCGAGTTCTTGAGTGGAGACCACGGCTCGGCAAACGTAGTGTAGGACGTCCGCTGGCCAGATGGACTGACGATTTGTGACGCTGACAGGGGATGGACGCAACGAGTTGAGAGGCGCGCATTGGGAGAGCCTAAGTCCAGCAGTGGACTACGATAGGCTGTTTATGATGATGATGATGTATTTTTAATTAGTTGTACGACAACAATAAATGAGGGAAAGACACAAAATACGAATGCAACAAGCACGAGTGTGCCATTGTAATGAACGTAAATTTCTTTTTCTTTCTTTATCTCTTGTACAATGTGCACATTGGTTTGAAAAAAAATTAAAATACCCGGAAAGTACCTTGGTAGATTATATCAATTTCAGACACTAATCTAAGTAGGCGATTCGTTAATTTTGACATTTCTCCGTTCGGTTATTAATTGTACTTACGTCATGTGAAAAAAATTTAAATAATTCGTTTTCGAGTTTTCTTTTAGCCTGTTTTCGGGATTTTATATGATCGAATTTGATCTAGCAAAACAGTTTCTCCCGGTTTTTCTCGGGTGACTTGTTTTAAATAGTAAGAAAACAAAATGTTTAGGTAATAATAATAATTTTTATTTAATACCACATTTTTTTTTTACAAAAATTACAAATTATATAGCGATTTCAGAAATACAATTACTTACAGAGAAAGTGGAACAGGAACTAGCTAATGGCGACACTGACTCTTGAACTAGGTAAAATTTGTATCTCAAGAGGCAGAGACTCAATTGGATGGGTTCCTTATATACATAATTTAGCAAACATTTGAAGTGAGGAAAACAAAAATTAATAGAGGGGCAGACAATAATATGCTAATATTAACTTAAGTCATGAGAATGTGTGTGTATAAAAGAGTATATATGTGTTTGTGGGGGTTTGTGGTTGTGGGCTGATAAGAATGAAAACCCTTCTGGACTTGGTTAATAATAAGTCTACAATAATTTTGAGATGTCTGTTTGAGAGATATTTAATGAAACATTTA